GAAAGCGAACCGGCGGCCACGAATGCCAAGAAGAAACATGGGACGGGCAGGAAGAGGGGACCTCAGAGCGCGAGCAGCCCAAAATTGGAGGCGAGGACATGAGCGGAGGCAATGGGAGACACGATCGGGCTCCCCCCAGCAACCATAGACACATCCGCACGGGCACTGCATCCGCCCGCCCGCCGCCCAGCCCCCAAGGGCCGATTCGAGGGCAATAAGCGCCCAAGCCGCGGGGAGATCCCGATGCGCTGCACTGTGCGACTCCCAATCCTCACTCGATTATCTCAGTCTCAGTTTAAGGTGCCTGCGAATTCGACGCGCCAAGAGATCTTCGAGAGGGGCCCGAAACGAACCAGATTGAAAGACACGACAGAGCCGACTCTGCCAACGCGGACGGGCCTCCTCTCGGAGTTCCTGGGAAGGGGAACGGAAAAGCTCGAATGCCTGCGCCCCACTTGCTCGGACCGTCACGTCCGATGGAAAGCCTAGAGCCGCCTCCTCCAACACTGGCGCAAACCTAACGCGCCCGCCAAGTGTTTTCGTCTCCCAAAGTTGCACCACAACCTGAGGCGTCTCGCGACGGCTGCTCTGCGCTGTCGAATGCGGGCCTACATCCCAGGCCAAAGCTCAAGGTTGGCGTCGGCCTCCATCTGGCGCGTGGCCCGCCGACGCTCCTGGAGCTGCAGGGAGACAATGTAAATCGTTAAAAGCACCAGGATCGGCGAACGACGCCGCATCAGACGCCAGGAGGCGGGGGCGGATCCATTCGCGGCGCGCGGGGAGGCGGCGCGCCATCCGAAAATCCGGACGAGCAGCGCTCCGAGCCGCTGAGCGGGCGACCAGAGCCCCCGAAGTGAGGGCACGCGGGGTAGTCCCCCAATGTAAATATCGCACCGCTCTCGCCGCAACCTGTCGACACAGCGCGATGAAGGGCTTCAGGGGGCTCGCAGCGCCCGAAGTCAATGAAGGATTCGCCTTCGGCCACTAGCTTCGGATAGAGAGGACCGGCGACGACGCGACGCGGAAGCGGACGAGGACGAGGACAGAGCAGGGAGGGGGGATCATTAGCCGGCGGCCGAGGTCCCATCGCGAGCCCGACGGGCGTGCGGTCACCGACACAGGAGAGAAACATCTCCCGAGGCTCACCACGCCTTGAAACCGTCTGGCGGCCCTCGCAGAGGGCCCGCGGCGGAGTCGCCGCGAAGAAACGATCCACGCAGGATTCCGAAAGCGTCCCTTGGTGCCAACAAGTGGGGGCCGCGCAGGTGAGCTCGGTGAGCTGCTTCCAGGTAGCCTTCCACGTGCCGTCACCCGCGCGCGGCTGTCTAGCAAGGCCATTCGACGCAGAGGCGATTTAAACATCCCAATTTGGACTGAGCCCCACGTGCCGCGGGCGTGCCCGAACGACAGACACCCGAGACAACGTCGCACGCTCGACGGCCCACCGAAGTTGTGGACATTCCAATGAAACAGACAACAAGTTGGGGAAGACAGCTTCAACATCAATATGCGCCCAGGGACGAGCGGGAGCTCGCCGACCTGTAGAGCCTCACCAAGATTCGACACTAAAGTAACAACGCCACATACATGGGGCCCCTCACAGTACGAACCAAAAACTTTGTGAGTGGACCCGACGCGCTGGCACAATTCGGCGACTGCGGCAGGTGAGCCATGCGTCTCCTGGAGACTCACCAGAGCCCTCGAACTAACGAGGGCACTCGGAGCACGAAGCCGTCTTGCCATACCCGACGAAGAATGATGGCAGAGCGCCCGAGCGTTCCACGTGACGAGGTCCACCGAAGCCCCACCCGCGAGGCTGTTACCTACACCGCTCGACCTGCTTCAGGGCGAAGACGCGCTTGCCCAAGGCGACCATAGCAGCGCAGTCCAGCCCCATGTCCGCGACGCCAGTCTTGTAACACAGCACCGTGGGGAACTCGCCAGGCTCAACCTTGATCTTGGCCACGGGCTCCCACTGGTAGGTGAGCATGCCAGCCTCCTTGTCGATGTCGATCTTGTAAGTTGCGCGATGCTGATCCTCAAGCGCCCTCCTGAGAATGCGGCATGCCCTCTCACGTGCGAGATCAGCCCGGTTCACGTCCCGAGCGACAAACACAGGAATCGCGCGACCACCAGGAGCCGAAACCGCAAACGATCTCCAGTTACCACCCGTGAGACGAAGTGCGCTCTGACAGTGCCGAACGCGGGTAAGCTTGGTGGCCTATATTGGGCCCTCCACGCGCAGGACAAATCTCTTGCTCAGCTGTGGGCTGTCGAGCTGCACCTCCTTCCCATACTCGTAACCGCAAGCAGTGACCCACTCTTGCAAACACTCCTTCGCGCGCATGAGGGAGATCTCTTCCTTTGCACTAACCGTGAAGATTGTAGGATCGATCTCGCGATCCCAGTCACTGGCATGTGCGACCTGGACCCGCGCTGGGACCGTCTTCGCCAAGCCCAGCTCGCCCTCCAGGCGTGTGAGCCGCTCGAGCAAGTCACGCTGTCCCATCTCCATTGCGGACAGCTTCTCGTTGGTAGCGTTGAGCCTGGGCGCGAACTAGGAGAGATGGCTCAACTAGCGCGTCGAACTTCTCGACAGCAGGGCCAGTCGAAGCCCCCAGAGCGACAGGGAGAAGTGCTTGAATCGAATTGAGGCAGACCGTGGACATCTCACGCAAACGCCGCTCCTGGAACTGAGCAAACAAGTCATCATGAACCGCGGACACTTCCTTGCGGAGCTGCTCCCGAAGCAAATCTGCCGCCCAATGATCGGGGCCCCGCGCACACACGCCACCGGGCGTCCCTGCCCGCACAGGACTCCCAGCAACGGGCATGCCAGGATCAGAAGCCACAGGTGTGTCAGGAACATCATGACCAGCAGCACGAGCAGACGCCATGTCCGCAGCAGCGTGTGCCAAGCGCACGGCAGCCATCTCCTGCGACGGGAACGTCGGGGCAGCTTCCCATGCCTCCTGCGTCAGTGGAGCGGCCAGGGCTGCGAGACCGTGCCGAAGCACCAGGCGAGGCCAGAGCAGCAGCGGCGGCAGCAGCACGGGAGCCATCGTCATGAGGGTGTTGCCCACGAGCGCCAAAGCGAAGAGGCGAGACCCCGTCCTGCATTGAGCCAGAAGACCCTGAAGCGGCACGGCGGCGGCGCGGGGTATGCTTGATGCCCTTCTTGTTTGTGTCCATCCCGTCCTATGGCAGAACTTGTGCGAACAAGAAGCGAAGCGAGAGGGGGACGGACTCTTGGCCCCAGCACCGCGCAGCTCGACTGGGGTTGCCTGAAACTGGAGCTAGCCTCGGATTAGAAGTATCCACTTCCTGCCCAGGGGACAAAAACATCTTGAGCCAAAATGGCTACGGAGGAGGAGGAGGAGGAGGAGGAGGGGGAGAATGGGGAGAGGGAGGAGGAGGAGGGAGAAGAAGACGAGGAGGAACCGTCACGCCTTCCTTGACGGCGACGACGACGACGAGCACGACTGCGACGACGACGAGCACGACGGCCTGGACCAGCACCACGGCGCGGACCACGGGCGGGGGAAACTTGACCGCAACGGGTCCTGACCAGCGGAGGGCATTTAACACACTCTTGTAGAGGGCAGAAAATCCACCCTCAAAATAACCACCCCGACACGCGAGGTCTTTCAGCAAACGAATTCAAAGAAGAAATCGAACAGGGCAAAACTGTTTAGTAAACGCCCAAAGCCGTTTAGTAAACGTCAGTTGTCGGGTCCCGGTGGTTTTTCCTCCCTTGATCCTGGGCCCCAGGTAATCGACCGGTGTGGAGAAAGGCAACTCTCCGGGCCAAGCCACGAGACGGAAAGAGCGATCACCTTCGCGCCCCTTCGAGCGACCCGGGCATATATAGGTACCTCCTTCCCTGGGCAAACCACGAAAGAAAGTAGCCCAGATTCCCCAGGTCACTCGCGTTCTCCTCCCCCTCCTCCCCCGCCTCCTGGACTCCTTCCCTTCCTCCCCCCCCGTCCTCCCCCCTCTCCTCCTCCTCGTCCTCCCTCTCGTTCTCCTCGGTACTCGACGATGCTCGAAACGAGGTGCGCCCAATGCCCTGCCCCTGGGGTACCGCCCTTGCCACAACCTCCGCTCCTTGCTCGGCATTGTACGCCCGCTGCCGCCTGACGTCCTCCACAAGCGCATCTGCGACTGAGAGGGCGGCCTGGCTGCGAAGGAGGAGGCGGGGGGAAACGGAGAGGAAGCTGGTGGAGTAGGTGCGGTGAGAAGGGGCGGGAGGGCTAGGACGATGAGGATGCTGAGGAGTAAGGAGGAATAAAAAAAGGAAGGAGCATAGATAGGTGGAGGAGAGAAGGACGAAGTGAGGAGGGAGGAACACGATGATAGTAATAGTAGTAATGATAATAATAATAATAATAATAATAATAATAATTATAATAATCATAATAATAATGATGCTGATGATGATGGTGATGGTGGTGATGTTTTTTTTTGAGCTCAGCAGCTCGACTCCACCGAATGCAGGACGTCTGGCGGCGGTGGGAGACACCAGCCTGCATGGTGGTGATGATGATGGAAACGGTGATGAAGATGATGCAAATGATGATGAAATGGTGATGTTGGTGATGATGACAATGACGTTGAATCTGAGTGTGATGGCGATTGTAGTATTGCTGATGCTCATGCTGATGATGATTATGCTGATGCTGATGATGCTGATGATGATGCCGACCTTAATGATGGTGATGCTGATAGTGATGCTGCTGCTGATGATGATGATGATGATGATGATGCGGATGGGGATGATGATCATGATGATGCTGATGGTGATGACGATGTTGATGGTGATGATGCTAATCATAATAATAGTGATGCTGATGGTGACGATGATGATGCTGATGGTGATGATGGTGATGATGATCATGATGACTATGATGATGGCGACGATGATGACGACGATGAACATGGTGGTGAGGATGATGATGCTCATGATGATCAATGGTGATGATGATGATGATGATGATGATGCTGATGGTGACGATGATGATGCTGATACTGGTGTTGGGGACGACAGGGCAGTTGTTTTTAACACATGGGATTTTAACACATATAGGATTATAATGCATGGCTAATGTATGAATAAATGTATGCACGAACTCATCCTTGTATTCAATACTAAATCCCTGCATGTTTAATACATGATCCGCACGCGGAGCATGTATAACAAACGGCACTGTATGATGATGGCGATGATGATGATGGTGATGATGATGACGGTGGTGATGAGTATGCTGATGAGGATGGTGGTGATGATGATGATGATGATGATGATGGTAAAGATGGTGATGATGATGCTGATGATGATGATGATGGTGATGATGGTGATGGTAATAGTTAAAGGAGAAAGAGGAGGAGGAGGAGGAGGAGGAGGAGGAGGAAGAGGAGGAGGAGGAGGAGGAGAACGAGGATGATGATGTAGCGGGTAAGGAGTAGAAAGGTGGAGGGACGTGGGGAAGGAAGGTGGGAGGGAGGCGAGGGAGGAAGAGAGAGAGAGAGAGAAAGAGGGCGAGAGAGGAGGAGGAGGAGGAGGAGGGGGAGGAGGAGGAGGAGGAGGAGGCGGCCTGGGCCCGGATCTCCTCCATCCAGCGCGCAGCCCAAGAGGGCGGTCCCTGGTGGGGTGTAGAGCCCAACTGCTGGGACCGCGCCACTGCGCGGGCTCGGGCCAGAGCGGGTAGGTTTTGCACATCCCCGTCACGCAGGCAAGAGGGGCCGTCGTAGTCGCCGTCGTCCTCATCCTCCTCCTCCTCCTCCTCCTTCTCCTCCCCTCCTCCTCCTCCACCGTCACCGACCGTCGTCGTCGTCCTCCTCCTCCTCCCTCCTGGCATATCTTACATCGCACAGCTTGTGCCGCAGTCTTACGCAGCATCGCTTATTCCATCTAGCTAACACCGTACACACATATGTGTATATATACATATATATATATATATATATATACATGTTCCCATAATGTTACATCCTGCATGGAAAACTCCCCCTGGATGGCCCCCCATACCTTTTTCGACGGTCCTCCCCGGCCCCGGGGCATCTTTCGAACGGACTTCCAAGCTTTCCCAACCAGCAGCCCGCGCGCCGAACGATCGGCTGAAACGCTTTTATAGCTTCCCGGCGGCCCAAGACGCCCGATGATGGCTCCCAAACGGCCCCAAACGGGCCCCCAAGACTCCCAAGAGCGCCGCGACATGCAAAAATCAACGCTTTTCCCACAAGTGTTTGACATATGTTGACGTCCTCGTCATTCCGGACATCCTTCATCCCACGACGGCCCAAGAGGCTTTCGAGATCCCCCCAAGACGGCTCAAGAGGCTTCCAAGACGGCCCCGAAACGGCCCAACAGAGCCCTCAGACGCCCAAATTGGCTCCAAGACTGCAGCGCGCCCCATAGACGCCCAGGGGCGCGCCCAAGAGAGTCCCAAGACGGCCCACGAGGGCTCCGAGACAGCCCATGAGAGCCCCAAGACGGCCAGGCCACGAGGGGCCCCAGAGGGTCCCACAGGGGCCCCAAGGGAGCTCCAAGAGGGCCACAGGAGGCCCCCTGGACGGCCAAAGAGGGCCCCCAGATGGCTCCAAGACGGCCCGACGGCCCAAGAGGGCCCAGGACAGCCTAAGAGGGCCCACAGCCGGCCCAAAAGAGCCCAAAAAGGACCCCCAAGAAAGCCCAAGAGGCCCCCAGAGTTTCCAGAATGCTTCCAAAAGACTCCCAGGAAGCTCCTCAAGGCTCCAAGAGGCCCCCGATTCACGATTCATCTCAGGGCTTCACGAGGTCTCAAAAACAAACGCCGCTGGGCCGCAAGAAGCACGACTAACGCCCCAGACTCACGATCCAGATCAGGGGTGTGCTGGCATGGGCGAGGCGGCGGGATGCGAACTCCTCTGACTATGGCCGCACGTGAATTATACCCCTCTGGGACATCATCCGTGTGATGGGTTGCCGAGACGGGCGGAACGACGCCGTGCGAACTTTGACACTGGACCCGCAAGTGGAGCTCCAGAGGGGACGCTATGTGAACCCTGACTTCCTACGGGGCCGTATGATCATCGCTTGTGTGGGCTTTCGACCGACTTGCCCAAGCACTACGCCGAGGGACAGGTGTGGACGCCTTCCTGTGGGATCTAGAGGCGGCCTTTGCGAGTCAACCAGACCCGCATGAGGCTTTGCTGACGGCAAGAGCTCCCGACCAACGCTGGCAGGACTGGATCACCACTGTGTATGCAGTGGCCGACCCTCACTTCTCACGGACTGCTACGAGGGATGACAGGGCTGTGCACTACGAAAAGGAGCGCAGAAGGTTACTGGCGCTGCGTCGTCACCAACGCAGTGTCGGCGACGATGGCACGGAATCTAGCCTGGCCTTGCCTCGCTTTACTCGTCTCCTACGGAGGCTCCGCCAAGCCCGCTTTGCAGAGGTGACGGATCAGATTGTGACGGAACTGCAGTAGGCCTGGCTGGACCAACGGCATGCCGAGGCGTGGCGCCTCGCGCACCTGCTGGCGGAAGAGTGCCGAGGACCTCGGAAACGCCGTTGCAATGTGGCGGATGAGTATGTTCCTCGAAACGATGAAGTGTGCGATTGTTTTGCTCGCGACGGCCCTGCAAGCGGCTTTCAAGCTGTGCCGCTATCGTTCCACGAGCTTCAGCAATAATGCTTGCAGGGGCTGCCTCCTCCTCCTCCTCCTCCTCCTCCTCCTCCTCCTCCCCTCGGTGCCAACAATTCTGCTGCTAATTATGGAGGAGGCCAGGGACGATCTAGAGAGGGTGGGAGATCTGATTGCGAAGGCACCGAGGAAGAAGGCGGCCCCGATACACAGCGCACCGTCAGAGCTGTTGCGATTGGTGCTCGACCCTGCTCGACGGTTCGACGGACCTCATCGGCGGCCAAGACGACGACGGGAACAGGAAGGTAACGGTGATGATGGTGATGACGGTGGCCCCCACCTCCTCGACGGCGTGATGCGCCTCGTCTTATCCCTCGGCATCGCCTTGGGGGTGACCGTCGGGGTCTCGGGGCTGATCTGGAGGCTCTCTCGAATGCGAGCGTGGTCTCCTCGCAGCGGCTCCAGCAGGTCTTCCATCAGATCCGGCGTATACAACGGACCCCAGCGGTCTGGCACCACTCGAGGGCTACGGGGCTCAGCAAAGCCAACGGGAAGGATGGGGTGCAGGCTCGGCGGTACATCCACGGGCTGCGTCGCATCGGCGTGGCAAGCCCAACTGCTACAAGGACCCCCCATGCGAGCCCCCCGACCAAGAGCATGGGCACCTACCAAGCCGTAACCGCAAGGGGCCCTCGTGGCCCAGGAGGCGCTCCCATGGAGGCTCAGACAGCAGGGCCGATCGGTGCTCGTGTCCAAGGAGGACACGTCCAACGCTTTTGGGTGCTCCACCTTTGAGGCTCTCCGGGACACCGTGCAGGTCTCCCTCGCCCCGAACTCTCAGGTGCATTCTGACTAGCGGCATGAGACCAATACTTTTGCTGTGCAGACGGCCGGAGGCGAACAGACTTTACGGAATCGCTGCGGCGCGCTCATGGGCGATAGCCCTGCGGCTGTGGTTTTTGCTCGTGCGCTTCGGAAGCCCATGCATGCCTGGCTGGACAGGTTGCGCCAGCATGCATGGAGAGACAGTTATCCTCCTTCTCGGCCGGCGAACTACGACGAATGGATCTCCAGTCCTCTGGCCCCGCCTATGCCGCCTCCCAATTTCGACGATAACACGTGGCCTTCGGAAGACATTTGTACAGCGTGGACGCCGTTCTTGCAACGGCCTGTGTCGCTGGTTTGCCGTATTTATGCAGATGACACCAGCATAACGCACGTGGTGTCGTCGGCGCTGAATTCACGACATACCTTGGACATTGTTCATCAGCGGCTTCATGAAAGGTTGGCTCCAAGCGGCTACGAGCACAATGCTGACAAAGTCATGTGGCACCCAGCTTTGTAGGCCCTGGGGCACATGGGCACTCGCATGCTCTCTTTGGGGGCTCAGTTCCTGTCGCGGGGAAGATCCAATTCGATTCAGTGTCTCTTGGGATCTCCACGTCGGTCAACGGCGGGGTGCAGACGGAGCTGCGACGTCGAATCCTTGCGTGCAGGCGGGATTCTTATGCCATGGGGAAGTTCTGGGCACGGAGCAGTCTGGAGGTTCACGAGGTCGGCCTCCCGACGGCCCGAGACGGCCCAAAAGCCCCCAAAGATCGCCCAAAGATCGCACAAGAGGCCTCCAAGATGGCCCCAGAACGGCCCAAGAGGCCCCCTAAGACGGCCCCAAGAGGCCCCCAAGACGGCCTAGAAGCTTTTAAGACGCCTAAGATGACCTCCAAGACGGCCCTGGAGCATTCCAAGAGGGCCCCAAGTCGGCTCAGAGAGGCCCCCAAAACGGCTTCCGACGGCGTCCGACGGGCCAGGGGCCCACCAAGACGGCCGAAGATGGCACTAAGATGGCCCAAGACAGCCCAAGAGGCCTCCAAGAGGGCCTCCAGAAAGCCCGAAAAGGCAACAATCATTGACTTCCCATGAATTTTTGAAGGATTGTGGCATTTGCTTTTTTCCGGCCTTCCGACGGCCCGACGGCCCAAGTGCCCCCAAAGATCGCCCAAGAGGCCGAAGACGGCCCCAAGAGGCCCCCTAGACGGCCCAAGAGGCCTCCAAGACGCTCAAGATGGCCTCCAGGACGGCTCAAGAGCCCTCCAAGACGTCCTCCAAGAAGGCCCGAAAGGGTCAAAATGGCCTCCAGGCGGCCAAGATGACCTTCAAGATGCCCACGTGTTCCCCGAAGGCTTTCCACACCGATTCGGGGAACACATGGTCCGATAGCTTGGCAGATCTGGCCTCAACGTTCGGCCACATAGGCGCTTCCAAAAAGGCAGGGGGCGGCGGTGATTCGCCATAGGCGTCTTCGATCCGCCGCCCCCTGTTGATTCATCACAGGGGTGCCTGGCGTGGTGAACCCACTCGGTTGTAGTTTTGGTTCTTTTCCAGGGTCTCCGGCGCGTTTCGCCGGCCACCCGGAAAGATTGGCAAGGACCTCGATCAGGAAAAAAATCCTCCAATATGGTCCAAAATGGCCTCCAAGATGGCCACGTTGGCCCAAGATGGCCTTCAAGATGGTCCAAGATGGCTTCCAAGTCCGCCCAAGATGGTCCAAGATGGTCTTCAAGACGGCCCAAGAGAGTCCAATCTATTTTCCAAGTTCACCCAAGAAGCCTCCAACACGGCCCAAGAGGTCTCCAAGAGTTCCTCCAGGAGGTCCCGAAGAGGCCAAAATCATTGGTTTTCCTAGGGTTTTTGAAAGATTTGGGGATTTGCCTCTTCTCGGCATTCCGACGGCTCAAGACGGCCCAAGAGGCCGCCAAGGTCGCCCCAAGATCGCCCACGAGGCCTCCAAGAGGGTCTCATAACGGCCCAAGAGGTCTCCAAGACGGCCCCAAGAGGGCCCCAAGAGGCCTCCAAGACGACCACGATAGCCTCCAAGACGGCCCCACAGCGCCCCAAGAGAGCCTCAAGCCAGTTCAGGGAGGCCCCCAAGACGGCTCCCGACGGCGTCAGACGTGCCAGGAACCCACCAAGATGGCCGAAGTTGGCTCGAAGCTGGCCCAAGACGGCCCAAGAGGCCTCCAAGAGGGCCTCCAGGAAGGCCAGAAAAGGCAACAAAATACTGA